CTGGTAATATTGTTATGACCTAAATATGCACCACATCAAAAATGCCACATTATTATACTTTGCCATGATTAATATTTCATGCCACAGACAAACAGACAGAGAGCCTAATATAACTGATTCGACATCCGTCCAGAATTACAAACCGAAGCGTAACACCAGCGAATTTTTGCCGTCCTAGAGGAAAATAAATCGATCGAAAATACACGAAACATGGTATGATGCATGGACTCTTCGGATTATAGTGTCATGTGACCCTTGTTTCGTTTTCGTATTGCGTCGTTTAGTCCTTAAATTTATTCATTGACCCTTGAAAAACGGAAATATTAGTGGAGCTAAGGCCAGGGGTGATAACCGTATTTACACCGCTCGCAGAAGGTATTAGAGATACTGACTTTTGTGATGAAAACCGTAAACAACGTGATAAATCATGTGCACATATACTTTGCTTCCTCGGTCTTTTTGAGGCCGTGAGCCTTTGACGCCCTTTTTGTCGAGAAATGAAGGAGTAATGAGTGGAAGCCCTCCTAACGGACACTCTCGTAAGCTGACATGACAGCTCTACCTACGGCCACCTTCACGAAACCTCGTTTTCTCAACTCCCATCATGGGAGGCTAGAAGAGGTTGGATGTATATTCTCTTTCATATCTCATTGAGGAATGCCTTCAAGTATTCTGTTTCGTGCCTTTTAGTTATCGTTGTACTCTATCCAGGTGAAGTATAAAACGCATTGCCGTTTCTGGAACTGGATGCCGATATTTCCAGGCCCATAAAGCTGTTTTGTTTTCACTCAAGATTTGGAGTTCAAAGGTTTGAAAATTATACAATTTAAAGCTATCAGCTAAAGAAACGAAATAGACTGATTAAAGGATTAGAGCCCGCCTTACTTTTCTTTAGAATGTTTATTTTGAAATATGACTTCGGGCCCGTTAAATTACCGGGACTTTCGAGAAACGTGCAAGAGTTCCTTTTCGATATTCCCATACAATTCTTCTAAATTCAACCATATCTTTACACAATTTGTGTGGCTGTGGCTGTGGTTACTTGTGGTCCATGGAGCATTCTCATGCATGTAAAGCCCGTTCTTACAGTCATAGGTGCGGGCGCACATGTCATGAAAAGAACCCAACTTGGTGAAGTTGTACTCTATCGTTTAAGAGTTGCATTCCTCCATTGAGGTGGATTGAGGGCAGATATAACATATTTGAAAAGATACGGCTGTAAATTAGCATTCGCATTCGCCAGCGTGCGCGCGAGCACTACGATTATTTTTCGAGTACGAGGAGGGATAAAACCTGGCCTTGCGTGCAACGAGCATTTTAGAAAGTACAACTCGCGAGCAGCGAGCACTTCCATTTTGTTTCTTTAGCTGATATTTTTGAGCAGGGTAAATGTGAAAGCCTTGGTGACTCTTCTTATTGAGCATTTCAACTCAAAAATGAGCGCCAACAGATCATCAGTTTTGCTATCAATTTTCTGCCGCCGTATAAGACACTCTCAAACGAATCACCAATTGTGGCCGCAGCTATTTTACATCGCGATTCTCGTATTATGATGATCCCGAAGGGATGGTTGTCTTTGGAGAGATTGTAGAGAAGATGTGGAAGAGATCAGGTAATGGGCTAGGACTTATGGCGATAGCACACGACAGCTGAGCGTCAGAGCGAAATCAACCAAAGACAACCCAGGCACTCTGCCTAACAGCGCTTATGGCCGACGGAAGCTTCCAAACAATGCAGCGAGTTTGGAGGACCTCACTGAAAGATTCGAGAGGAAAGCGTAACCGCTGAGGTGAATGGAGAAACTGTTGAGAGAGAGGAGAGTATTACACTTGTTACGAACAAAGACGATGTGATACTCATCGCTGAGTTCAAAGGGATCAGTGGACCCTTTATTTTAGGAAAGCTTGCCCAAAACCTTAAGAGAACATCGCCTAGAGTAAAAACACACCTGTAGGCCCCACTTTCTAAAGACAAGAATTGCACGTACATGTACAAAATATCCGAAGAACCTTTAGTTCACATTTTTATCCCAATTCTTCCCATTTCGTTTGAATACTAAAGAATCCGTGGTAAGATCAAACTATCCCCCAAACTACTAGACAAAAATTTTCCAATTGAAATCCCGAGACCGTGAAAACCCATAACTATCCTCCATGAGGATAGGATAAGGATAAGAAATTTACCACAAGAAACCCAACAGGAAACAAAATAAGGAAGAAGTCTGTACACCACACTACAAGGTAAAAAAATGCATGAATGAATGATTTTTTATTAATATTGTAGTGATATATATTGACAAGGCTATGCGAGGTAGCCACTGTTCCATGTAATAATTGCCTAGTACAGTAAAAAAGCACAATTCTAATTTCTTACTCCCTTACAATAATGTACCGTTAATGATCGATTAAGCGCCGCTACTCGAATAAGCACCGCGCCTTTACCCATAATTATTTTATAGGCGCGGCTCTCGAATAAGCGCCGCGGCGCTAATTTGGGTATTTATAAATTAACGCCTCACCTTTGTTACGACACTTGATATAAAGAGAGATTGCTGGAGAATTAAGACCTCGAGTCCTCGACCAACTCGTGAGTTCTAAAGTTTTAATTTAGGGAAACTCTTGAAACCAGTTCATCTAACAGTTTGAGGTGTACGTATTTTACATTAAATTGTGCATACCCAGAACGTGCCCCACTAATTCTTTCTATATTCCCCTCGGTGTTTTACCCGTAGTTAAAATAAGCGTCGCTCTCGAATAAGCATCGCTCACGTATAAGCACCGCACCTATAACAGGGCAAATCAAATAAGTGTCGCGTCACTTAATCGATCATTTACGGTAATGAAAAGAACCTTAAAAAGACCAAGTCACATTGTATCATTTTCAGAAACCCTGGGCAGCTACAGGCAGAGACATTTTTTGGTCAATCAAATGTAGGCACTTAAATTGTTCTTCAGGCCAAGATTCTTGCCTGTAAAAATTTATTCAATCCAAATTAGTTCCCTATGGGCCTTTGATACAACACCATTGAATAACATCCGTAAAAATATGCAGATTATACAGTCAAGTAAAAGTTATGCAGGGGGTCTGGTAGGACCTAAATTCGTTATTAGCACAGTCATGATTACTCAGCAACAAGCCTAGCTCTATTCCATGAATTTCTGATGATTTGTTCAACATTACGTGCCTCGGGATGACGCAGGACATGAGGATGAAAGGCACCAGGATTGGGCGGCTCCCCTTCTTTCTGAGCACCACTGCTATCATGGTCATCAACGTACATCTCCAGCTCAGTGGCAGTACAGCAGCACAGACATTTGCGAGTTGTCTTCAACTCCAAATCCTTGAAGAATCGATAGTCCATGTACTCTGTTCGAACTAAAGAACAATATTATAATAAATGAGGATAGGCTAGTTAACTTCTTCTTTTCTTAAGACAATATCATTATACAGGATGGGTAACATGCTTAGACCCATAAATGTAACTAATAACTATTGGTGTGCCAATCATCAATTATAATCAAGCATTGATCAAAATCTTTCAGCAATGCGATAATCAATTATGGAAAATGTTTAATAATAATATTGATAATCACAGGAAAAAATCAATTTGTGTGTTGTCTATTTGAAAGTCTCATCACTTAGAACAGAAGATTTAATCACCCAAAAACACAGAAAAAATTCTGAGTTGTAGGGGAGAATTGAACTCGTGTTCTAGATCGGACAGTCTAACCACTAAGGGACTGGAACAGGATTGAATCCACTGATGTCCCTTTTCTGATATTGCCAGCACTCTCAAAGATCTCAAAAATTGTGTCATAAAAAATGTTCAAAACCTAATATTACCGGAAACACAAACATGTGGGTCCTGACTATAGTTTCACGGCAAAGCAGCTAAGCAGCACAGCAGTTAAACAATGGAAAACTGATGATCGATTCATTTTGTTCAATTACTTGCAAAATTCTGAACAGCTAATTCCATTGTTCATAATAAGGGGAGGGAGAGAATGTCTACTATCTTTGCCCTGTGGAAAGAGGTCACTCCTGAGGAAGGGACAAGAGGTCTGTTTCAGTGACATACTGACAATTTTCTCACCTTCCGTCCACAATCCACAAGGAGGTTCCCGTTTGTAGAAAACACCCTGTCCTGTCACACGCCAGTATGTTTTTGCCAAGCAACATGGGCAGAAGTACGCCACGCAACATTCTCCACAGTCCTCTTTGTAGGCAATTCCAGGAGCTGGAGTTACTCCCGACCACTTTGCAGCACTAAGTTCAGCTTCTCTCTTTTTCTTCTTCAATAATCCAATGAGCTCTGTCAAGTAGATTCTGTCACCAAGGCATGTGATTCCAAGTTCATGAAGATGACCCTGTAAAAAAATAATATTAATTAAAAGCAAATAAAACAGTCTGATCTTCAGTGGTTTTCACAATAATGTTTATCTGTATCTAGATTCTTCATAATTTTGATCTTAATTTAGGAAAAGTGTCTTGTCTCTTAATTCATTCCCATCAGCACCAGCCATTATATAACACTTCAAAAGGAATTATATATAACAGGAAAGTGAAAGAATACAGTTCATAATTAAAACCACGACAGGCTGCAGGTTGTCTGACAAAATACAACATGTTGTGGGCCTTCGTGCTTGTCAGACTACACGGTTTTAATTGCTTCTTGGTCGGTAGACTTGCTCACAAGTCGAGCTTTTGAGCGCGTAGCGCGACTGTGAGCGCGAAGCGCGATCGTACGAGCGCGAAGCGCGAGCGAGGAAAATTCCTCCTGTAAATTTGGCGCGCTGCAAGGGATAAAAGTCGTTCGTGCCGGGTCCTACCACACCAGACCAGAAAACCAAGCGAACGACTTTGAGAAAGTCTACTTGGTCGGTTCAACCCCCTTTTGGGCAGAGACCTCCCTAACCTATAAGGCCATCATAGGGAGTGCCCCTGGGATGAAAGTGCACTGTGGCATAATATCAGATACCCTGTCCATGTTAATGCAAATGTACATGTACCTCTGTAAGAAGCATAAGACATTTTCCATTGATCTTGTTCACAGAAAACATCTCGGCCATGTAACCCAGTCCAGCACGCTCAAGGAAATTCTGATTAACCTCTTGCACAGACCATCCTATGAAGATACAAATAATAAAATGTACCAGTACTAAAACAGAAGATTATCTTGATCCAAATCACACAATTTATACATGTATATGAAGGCAGACTGATGTGCAGAAAGAGCATTGTAATAAATCTAACCCACCTAACAATCAATGCAATCAGCAAAGGTGGCCCAGACTCTGTGAGAGTTCATTAGACTTTGAATTTATAAGAGAATGTACGAGAATAAACAAAATACATCCTCAAATATTCCATTTTTTGACAAAAATTGAAGTAAAAATGACGCACCTTGTGTAACTCGACCTGACGTAATCAATGGTCACTTAAAGCTTACGTCACAGTGATAATTTGCCTCCGCCTGGGAGCACGCAAGGTGTATCACAAGTAGTACAGTGGGAGGGCCCCTGGGTCCATTTGACTGAGACAAAGCGTGCCAAAACATTGCACGAGCACCCGGCTATTTACACAATTGCTCTGTCTGCAATTTGAGTTGAGAAAGCCTTCCACCGTGCTACTCGCGATACACCATGTCCACTCCCGGACGGAGCCAAATAATTTATTGTCGCTGTGAAGTAAGCTTTGAGCAACCGCTGATTACATCAGGTCTTAAAAGCTGCCTGGTCATGCAGATCATGAGAAAGAAAATTGGGATGGAAAAAATTTAAAATCAAGCGCTTCGCTAGCGGTTGTGATGAAATCTGATCAGAGACTCAAGAAGCAGCTGTTCAAAAATTGGTTTTCAACTTGCACAGATATACGACAATCTAGGTTGGACTGTTACTGTTGAGGTATCTGCTGCATAGAGGAATATGAGGGAGGATTATGTCAAAACTAACCGATAATATATAAATTACTGATTTTTGCTTCTGTCAATCATAATGCACACAAGATGGATCAGAATCTACCAATTAACCTACAGAGGTGACCTTTTTGAGCAGCTGAAGAAGACCATGAGCCCTGAGGTCAGCTAGGCAGATTGACAGAAGCAAAAAAGGTAAATGGTTAATTTTTTTATTTTAGAGTTTGCGTGTCATTGAAAAGCTAAGTGCAGTAATATGGCATATCATTTCATATTTGTTTTGTTTATACAGTCAAACTTCCATGTGCAACCATCTGCCATGAGCGACCGCCAATCCAAAACACCAAAAGTTTCTCAGTCAAAGCCTTGCAGTTGGAACCTCTAGTAAACGACCACCTACTGTAAAAAACTGCGACCACTTTTTGGGCCTGATAGTTAACAATTCTTCATTGTTTTTAAACTCTTGTAAGTGACCACTTGACGCATTCTCTGAACTTTATTTTTGCTGTGTGCACTATGTTACTTAGAATATACGAAGAATTTTAGGGACAACATGGAACTACACATATCCTACCTTGGACATTGCATGCAATAAAATAATTATCTTCCATAAAGAAGATGTGCCTGGACCTCTTCTCGGAAGACTCACCCCCTGTGGTTCGATTCTTGTAAACAACCACCTCCCATAAGTGACCACTCAGTCTTTGCATTTTGGCTGGATGCTTACAGGAGGTTTGACTGTATATTGATAAGTTTATGCCAGCAAAACTTCAATTTTAAATGATGGACACGTCATGACCCTCATCGACACCCACTCAGAAGTGAAAAAGCTTCTTACACTTATGATACTGGTGTGGTACAAGATTAAAGTGCTTATGATCATCACAATTGACTGTCATGTGAATGAAGTCAGATTTTAATACTTGTCTCAGCAGAATTAAACACGATGACAAATGGCTCAACAATGAAACTATATTAGAAATGAATGTTTTTATGACTAAAATATTCATATCTCATATATTTAAAATTTGCAAATATGAATACTTAAAAGTTATTCAATATAAACAACCAACTTGACGTTTTTATTCATGGCGATATGATGGACATTTACTAACCAGTCCTGATTTACATGAGCTTTTCTAAATCAAAAACTACTGAAGCTCATCAGATCGTTTACTTTAAACAAAGTTGTTAAAGCTTAGAAAGAATTCGCAGCTTGTTGGGCATAACAAATTTTAATACCGTTTGCTTTGCCTTGTGCTTGTCAAATAGGTTCAGGTTTCTATACCCTTAAGCTTAATTAAGAACGAGAGAACAAACGATCGAATAAAATTTAGCTCGAGAATACATGTTGCTAATATCGTTTTCTAGCAAGAAAGTGCAAGAAATACTAGAATAATCTAATGTTTCCATATTTATCATGATCATGACAACGCCCAAGTTCATGATAAAATGCAGGCGACTTACTGTGGATGAGCGACTAAAAAGCACGATGAACTGCCAAAGGCTATTTCTAGTGAAAATTCGTGTACTTGCGCGCTTGGTCTGGTGATCCTCAGTATAATCAAGAACTTTTGACTCGAAAAAACACAGATCATTACGGCGCCATTTCAATCATACCGAAGCAAGATATACGCGTACTCCAAGACGCGAAAAAATTTACATAAGACTATTGTATTAAAAGGTTAATACTTCTGCTTACCTGCTACCGTATTGGGATCCAAGTTAAGAACATACTCTTCCGTTGGTGAAAGTTTTGCAGGCTGGCTTACTATCACCGTTGCTTCTTTCGACGCCATTGGTGGTTCTCCGCCGTTTTTCCCGGGCAGCGATTCGTACTGCTGTTTGTTAGCCATGTTAGGCTAATGATTAATTCAATAGGTGCGGCCTATTCTTAATAAGTAACTTGTCACGCTAGCTTGAGTTCTGGACAATTCGGGAACCTTTTCATGGTTCACTTGACCGTAAATAAATGTAGTTTGCTTGGCTTCAGTAAAGTTCGCAGTTGTGTTTTGCACATCGATCTAGGGCTCCATTTAAAAGTGAAAAACTGACAAATACAGAGCTAGTGTAAGTTTATATTGTGTTTGATTGTGATACAGCGACGATGACAAAATGTCACACTTCGGCAAAAAAGCACAATGGAAGAAACGCAGGCGCACAATCTTGTTGAAAACCCCCCAGGGACCGTGGAAGTTTAAAAATACTGTATTACAAGAAATACGTATCTCGCAGAAAGAAAAACAGCGAAGAGCAATAATTTTTTTCTTCCCTAGCAACCTCCCCACCAACATGTGAAGAAAAGAGGAAGGGACAAAGTAGTTAAACAAAGTGGAGGCATAACCTCCCTAGACTACGAGTAGTCCCCCATTTTTCCTCAGGGATAGTAGAGCGAGCGAAACGCGAGGGCGCGTGAAAATCACCCCACGCGAGAAAAGGCGACACGCCGCGTGTCGCCTTTTCTCGCGTGGGGTGATTTTCACGCGCCCTCGCGTTTCGCTCGCTCTACTCACAGGAAAAAATAACGGATTCCCATTTTTGGATATTTTTGGGTCTTTAAAGAATACCCATAAAAATCCCAAATTTGGCAAAGTGAGACAAGTCCCAACCAGGAAATTCCCAACCAAGTTCCCAGATTGGGACTTGTCTCACTCTTCCAAATTTGGGATTTTTATGGGTATTCTTTAAATACCCTAAAATATCCAAAAATGGGAATCCGTTATTTTTTCCTGTGACTATCCCTGAGGAAAAATGGGGGACTACTCGTAGTCTATAACCTCCCGCGCAGACGTTCTAGCCTAGCTTGGGGGACGACCAGTTAACTTTTGAGGCGGGGGTTGGGGGATCGGTGATTTCAGGAAAAAATTATCCCGCCGGACTGATTTCGAGGGTAAAAAATTCATGACGTATAATACTGGAAAAATTCTTACACCGTTGCATATCAGCAGATAAGAGAAAAAATTCTATCAACAGAGGTTTGAGAAAAACAATTCGTACCCAAACCAAATCATACATACTCCCCACCCCTCTCAAAAGTCAAATGGACGGCTTCGAAAAGACGTGTGCGTGAAAAAGGACTCTTTTCGCGCTTTACTCCCTCTTTTTGCGCCTGCCACGCATAGCCAACGTGGCAGGCGCATAAAAGGGAGCGGGACCCAAGAGGGAGAAAAGAGCGGAATCGAGAAGGGAAGAACATTCTGTAACTTACCGATATTCCTATTCGTCGCACTCAGCAGGAGCCGCTATAAGGGAAAGTACGTTTTTATTGGGGGGCGGGGGTGGGCCGGGGTATTTTAGATTTTTTTTGCGAAAAAAGTCGTGGCCCTCCCACTTCCTAGAATGGATTAATGCAATGAACCTTCGGAAATACCCAAACAAAAACATCTGACCCCGCCCCCCCACTACCTATCCAAGACAAAAATAACCGGAAGTGAAAATAACAAACTGGAAGTGTTACTCATATAACAGGGTTCATCTGCGCACAAAGTAGTTGATTGTGTGGCGTGTGATTGTATAGTGAAAACTTGAAAATGGGCAAGGATGTACGAGGAATAGAAAGAGGGAAATATGCTTGTGGTGAACGCGAGTATTTAATGAGGTCAGATGGAGCCACTTGTGGCTATTGTGGCTGTTTGCCGACTCGCCATTCTAAAAAGAATGCCCGCTATTCCTCTGACTCTGTTGGTGGCACATCGGCTGCGGGAACAAGTGAAAGCACAAGTCCAGAGAAGTGGAAAGAGACCGAGGGTAGCTTAAGTGAAGAATCCTCACCGTAAACTGATTTTATACCAGAGCCCCGCGCGGAAACATCAAAATATGGGCGAAAGCGGACACGGTGCGAGAGAGACAATTATGTTAGTTGGGAGAAGATAGTTTTTTGATGTATAAATTTTTCGACACCTGAAAATAATTTAGATTAATCTTGGCTGGAGAGGCGACATGGAGTTAGCCTCCCCGCAGACGTCCGTTGGGGTTCGTTTGTTGTCACGCATTCATTTCTCCCCACGGGAGAAATGAATGCGTGACAACAAACGAACCCCAACGGACGTCTGCGGGGAGGCTAACATGGAGTAAGACAATAATAAAAATTAATTAAGTAGCTGTGCTTTGACCTTGTGCTTGGGCACTGGCACTGTGCCCAAATTTAGGCATGGGTTCTTTAAAGAGCACTGTGTTCACATTAGTATCCAGCGAGTATTATACTCTGATAACGTGCTCTGACACCAAGTGTGAATGCTTCCAAAGGCCCAGGGCAGGTCTTATCTGTGAACAATTAAGATCCAGCAGGTAGATAATGCAAATTTTCTTGTTTTACTTGCTTGTGTTTGCTTAAAATCCCGTGCCACTTAAAGAATTATACAGATAGTTAAGACGTGCATGTATCTCTGGAAAAGGAGTAAAACAGTTTATTACATAAGATCCCAAAAAATGTACACTGTAAAGGTGACAATGACAACTGCCTTCCGTCAAATGAGATCAAAAATACACAATGTATAGGGACGGAAATAATATTATTGTGGTGTCCCTTACTGTCCATGAATGCACCTCTTTTCTCCTAACCACTCCTTAGGGTTGAGGTGGCAGAGAAGTCAACACTGATGTTTACATCAACTCAATAACAGTTTTTTGCTAAAAATAATGATAAAGAGCACAGGAATCTTATCTAAACAACCATGTTTTTCAGTTTACTGTTATGTGCATCCAGTCTCTGGTTGAGTTGACTCTCTCAGGGGTGATACTATTTTGCCTGTGACTTTGCGTTTTCCTTTGTCTGTTTTAGTTAAAATGTTAGTGACTAACCCAATATTTTGGTGTCCAAGCTTTATAATCGACTTAATCACATACATGTATGGTACAAAAAACGAACAGGCAAAATATGTCCACATGAAAATACAATAACATTATTGCAAGTGTTTACATACCAAACCTTAGGATTTTAATGCTGAATCTTTGGGAAAAATGCAATAAACTAATGAATAGGAGAGTGCTTTGCACTGATCACTGTTCTGGACCTGTTTTCACAAAACAAAATCATAAGTTGTTCAGAGGTAATAAACAGGCCAGGATTATGACACTATACACTTGTACACCTTCCAGTGAAAACCTTTGACTAATGGTAGGGGAAGTATCCAACCTACGCAGTAAGCATTCCTTATGTTAGCTTGGCAGCTGTTGAGGAAGGTGATATAAAAACTTTTCAAAGCCTGTTATTGGAAGATTTTGCAGCTTAGCAAATCCTTGAACACTGTGTGCCATTCTATCTACACACAATGCACATGAAATACTTGGTATCTTTTCTGTCGCCAACTTTTCAGTCCATTGCTGACACTTGTACAAACCAAAACCTGATAATAACAATCCCTGTAGGTGTTACTGAGTCTTCTTAATTTAGAATACTATTCCTAACATAACTGGCTTTCATGTATACTCTTATGTGACAGAAAAGGGCAATGCAAGTTTTAAAATCAATATCTCCCACAGTGCTTCAACAGGTAATATCCAGTCACATATTATTTTTTTTTTCAACCACTAGCCACGGACATTATCAGTCATTAATTTTTAAAGAGGTGACTCCAAGTGACAACTACAGGAATGAGAAAATAGTTCATTTTAGACCATGAGGCAGTTCTAAACAATAGTCTCACAACAGACCACTTCAAAGGCTTGAATAAGAAAGACTTTTCCACCATGGTGGACATCTCTATACGTAAAGAGCACACCCTCTAAAACTGGGTTTAGTAGCGAAATGTTTGCTGGAAGAGTTAATGTCAGTCATCATCATCATCCTCATCTTCGTCTTCCCGCTTTCTCTTTTCGCCTCTTCTGTCGGCTTCTGGTGTCTCGTCCTCCTCATCTTCTTCCTCATCCTCTTCTTCATCATCTTCCTCATCAGGATTAAAATCTTCGCCTTCTTCTTCATCCTGGACAAAACAAAAAAGTTCTGGTTTACAAAAAGGCATCCCTTCAATACTAGGAACCTGTCACAGCAAACACCTTTTATTCATACCACACAAACCTCTCAAAGCAGGCAACTTAACTTTTAAAGAGAGAATGTTTTATTGTATGGTCAACTCTGCAGCCCTTGCATCAAATTGACATAACATGGCTTGTTTAACTGAAACTCCAACCACATTAACTCACTAACCCCAGCAAATCAAAGCTTGCACTAACAAACAAACCTTTTGTGATAATTTACATTAATTCAGGGACATTGTGACCAAAGACATTGAAACCTCATTCAGAACTTGAAACAACCCCATGATTATTGACATGATATGCCTGGGGCATCATCAATAGTCAAAGACCCCTAAACACCCTTCCCAAGTTTAATTATAAATCTGTTATAAGATTAAATATGTACCTCCAAATTTTCTTTTTGCAAATAATCTAGACCTGGCTCATCCTCTTCTTCCCCTTCATCTTCTTCCTCCTCCTCTTCATCATCTTCCTCACCTTCTGATTTAAAAACAAAGAGAAATCACAAAATACTATTGCTAAAAAAGTATAAACCACCAGGTTCAGTGTTCTCTTCAGACTTTTTCTAGACTTTTTTCCAAAACAATGATTTCTTTTTCCAGACTCAAGGTTATCAATTAGTTCATCAATAGACACCTTTAAAATGCAGGAAAAAAGCTATTTTTCATGATGTGCTGCAAACATATGGGCAAGATTGAATAAGATTTGACAAAAACGAAAAAAAATTATAAAGCACTCGCTGTGTAGCTTTGAAAAAAAAAAAAGACTCAAGACTCTTTTCCCATTTTCCCCAACTTTATCTCCATTTTGCTGACTTTCTCAGGCCTGGAAAATGGCTGGGCAATGCAAGACTTTTCCAAGAATTCAAGACTCTGTATGAACCCCTATCTTTAAATTAGAGTAGTGAATGCAAAGTGGGCATATGTGACAACTTGACCCAAGCCAATGCTCAAAACTCACTGAAGATTCTCAAACAAGTTTTTTTTACAATGCTGAACCTCACTCTTAGTAATTCAAGTGAAAGATATCATTATTTCTGGGTCATTTGACAGCTCATCTGTTTGAGGGCAGTGTCCTAGCACAGCCCCCCCCCCCTTTACCACATCTTTATCAAATGCAAACACACCAAGCAGTTTTGGAAGGAATTTCCATATTACTTTTACACATCGACAAGAAAATTCGTCTGTCCGTCCTTAAAAGATGTCATTACAAGAATATTATATACAAATTGCCCTTTGCTGAATTATTTGATACTGATCGCTAAACTATATTTATGGGATTGTAGAAGTAATCAGACTCTTCCAATCATAACTGCCTTTTCATCCAACCTTATCATAATATTAAGTATGAAACAGAAAAGTATATATGTGTTGAAACTAATAAAATGGGCACATTCATTAAGAAGTGAACTCTGCCTTTGGACTCTGTACCCTAGAAACGTGTGTACTTGAAATGTATTTTTTATTTTATGTATAGTTACTTCGGCATAAACGTTTATAGTGTATTGTACTGTCATGTATTTGTTATACATTGTAATGCAAATAAAATAATAATAGCAATAATATAATTTTAAAAAAGTAGAGACTGTAGATGATGAATTCCATTCTAAGATACTCACCTTCACCTTCTACTCCCTCCTCATCATCACTTGATCCTTCCCCTTCATCTAAATCGTCTTCATCATCATCATCTCCTTTAATTTAACAAATTTTAAGCATAAGAACAGAGAGAACACAAGACCTTAAAGCACCTGGTGGTCTCTTGCTAAATACTGTAAATGCTTAACAGCTGAATTTCATATGACAAGAGCTTTAGGAGCTTCCTATTTTTTTTTTTCAACACAGCACAGCCTTGAAAATAATTATCTGTCATTGACCTTCTCCTTGACAGCAAGGCAACTAGAGATTGGCAAAGTAATCAGGGTACCATGGACAGTAGCAGTATTCCATCACATACTGTGCACCAGATACTAAAACAAAATGCTGATTTAGAGTAATGATTTGTAACACAGTATTTGGAACGCAGCACTAACAAGTGGTGTTGTGTAAATTAAATATAAAACAAGTGTATAGCAGGCAATATGTTTTCAACCACACACCTGTAAGTAACTGGTTAACACCACCTGAGGAAACCCTCAGGTCAGGGTAAATTGTTTCTTCTTTATTTAGCTGGCTAGCAAATTAAATAGAAAAGGGCCCTATACTGGCACACATAAATGCCAACATGTTGTCATATTACAATCAAGCATACACCCATAGATTCTTTTCACAACTCATTTAAATATGCTACTAAGTTATTGCCAAGTGATTTAACATGCAGGGTAATTCAAATTTATGTCAGCTCTACTTTCTTTTTTCTAAAGTGTTAAAGATTTTTCAACCTGACTGAACAAAAAAAAGTTGTGGTGTAAACTTTTGTGCTTCTAATGCATGCAGGAATGCAGATTTGAATTTGAAGTCATAAGCAACAACAACTTAAGGAAGCAACCTGGTGGAGTGGTTAAAGCGCTGCAGGCACAGAGTTCCAGCCCTGCCCCTAACCCCTAGCTGGATTACTTCTGTTTATTCCATTATCCACAGTCCTGAGTTCAATTCCTTGATCATGCTTAAAAATGGCGAAATGACTTGCCTCCAGCCAGTTGGAATTCTTAACCTTGTGGGGCAGAATGAAAACTACTGGTTTACCTATTATTGTCAACTACTGCAGGACAAATGTAAGGAACTTTTCACTTCATTTTCAAGGGCCCAAAATATTTCATTCCCTTAGCTCTGAAATTCACAATGCCTCTCGTACTGCTTTGTTCAATTCTAAACTTAAGTCATTTTTTTCTTGGAATAAGCACACTTTAGCTCTCCTAATGCTTGTGTGTAGTTTTTCGCTTCTTTCAGATTTTTTTCTCGTGTATTCTTGCATTAGTTTTTCTCACCTTTTCTTTCTTGTTTTGCACTTACATGTTCAGCATTTCTATTTCTATCCTATTTAATGATTATTTTCTAGGTTATAAACAAATTGTGCATACTTCGAATTAAATTGCCAATGTCAGTATTGTAATTATTGATTAAATAACATAATTTTAAAGGTGGTCCTATAAACAAGCCTTATTGGCTTCCTTGGGCTCCCTTCCCTCATCTTTATTAAAATTTTATATGTATATTTTGTGTGCATGGCAAAATGATAATAAAACAATAAAACAATAGGGACCATACTTGAATTGGCTTGACTGTAAATATTNGACAAATGTAAGGAACTTTTCACTTCATTTTCAAGGGCCCAAAATATTTCATTCCCTTAGCTCTGAAATTCACAATGCCTCTCGTACTGCTTTGTTCAATTCTAAACTTAAGTCATTTTTTTCTTGGAATAAGCACACTTTAGCTCTCCTAATGCTTGTGTGTAGTTTTTCGCTTCTTTCAGATTTTTTTCTCGTGTATTCTTGCATTAGTTTTTCTCACCTTTTCTTTCTTGTTTTGCACTTACATGTTCAGCATTTCTATTTCTATCCTATTTAATGATTATTTTCTAGGTTATAAACAAATTGTGCATACTTCGAATTAAATTGCCAATGTCAGTATTGTAATTATTGATTAAATAACATAATTTTAAAGGTGGTCCTATAAACAAGCCTTATTGGCTTCCTTGGGCTCCCTTCCCTCATCTTTATTAAAATTTTATATGTATATTTTGTGTGCATGGCAAAATGATAATAAAACAATAAAACAATAGGGACCATACTTGAATTGGCTTGACTGTAAATATTTTAGAATTTAACTGTAAAAAATGTTTCACCTTCGCCCTCTTCATCTTCTTCGTCTTCGTCCCCCTCATCATCATCATCGTCATCACCCTCCTCATCTGTTGAAAATAAACAAAATAACTCAGCCACAATACAGATAATAATAGCTTTAACCAATCTGGGATGTCCAGTAATGTGGTAGTTTACTAGTTTGCAAGGCTGCTGTGAGACCTAGCCCAGCAACAAAAGAAATTTCATGAGCGGTAAGTATTGGTCCCTGCAAGCAAAGTTTGCCAAACTAGCAAAAGATTGTTTACCCTAACCTAACATTCCTTTCAAAACATCCTTCTACAGCAGGAAAAAAGATGCCATCTGATGAGCGAGTGCTGCATGATAAGATTAATTGACACACATTACAGATGTGTACGTTGGGTTGGAAAGGTGGAATTGAAATAATCCAGGCATTCATTTGAAGTCATAATTCAAGTATCATAAAAAGATTACATAAACTTTGTTCAAAATCCAGTAACTAGAGACCTAAAAATGTGATAGATGCCAAACCGCAGTTTTGACAAAGGCTGGGTCCATTTAGGCAACTTGCTGCATTAAACTGAGAAAATTTGGCACACAAGATAAACAGATGGAATAAGATTTTTCTTTTACCAACAGACTACTCCCACCTATAACGGATCAAATTCGATAGAGATTTACAGTCCCTATACTTAGTTTTATTAGGTGTATTTTTTGTATCATTTACAGAAAAGAGCATTATGTATAAGCACATTTCTCCAATGCCAAAATTTTCAACACAAGCATTTCGTGACTGTTAATTTTAAGCCATGAAGTACATCCCCTACGAACTAAAAAACTTAAAACCAACGGCTTTACAGTCACCCATTCTGACAAGACTGAACAGAAGAGAATAATAAACATTCTAGTGTATCTAAACAAGAATTGCTTGAACATTTCACAGTGAGAAATTTGTGCTTCAAGAAACAACAAACAACAATTAAAAAATCACCATTTAACGGCTGTAGGTTCTGTCAAACAAAAAGGAAGGAATCTTCCACTGAAGTGAATAGTAAATGAACTTAATCTCACCATGTAAAAATCCACATAAGCTGGTTCTAGCTATACAAACGTGGAATATGATCTTATTTCGAAATCTAACTAGAAATAATCGCTATTAAAATATTGATGTCTTTACCTTCTAGGACGGCCGTCAGTTAAAATCAATGGATCCACGAAATGAAACTTTGCAGCGACAAAACCAAACTTAAAATATTCTCGAACTTCTAAATGCGCGGGAATTTCATTTTGGAGCGTGGCGTCCGCACAAAAGCCATTTCAGAATTCCATTTTCTATCAGGGCAAAATATCGCATAAAAATTCTCTCTTGCCACAATAAATGTGAAAACTCACGAAGGAGCACACCTTTCTCTTCGATAACACTTCACTGCAATCAGTCCATTAGGCGGCAACAAACTTTTTTCACTCAATTCTTCTTTATTGTGAACTCGCATATTTTAAATCAAACAGCGCACCGCGCCAAATAATATCCCAAACGCTTCTCGGGCAACGAACATAATTCAAATTGTAACCACTGAGGAAACGAAAGCGAACTTTCGCTTTGCCTCTTTGGTATTTCATGAAATCAAGTACATCAAGACAAAAAGCTGTACCTTCTTCGCCATCCTCCTCACCCGAGGAATCCGTTTCGTCAGCTTCATTCCCGTATCTAATGGCGAACGAGAACAAAAATTATTTCAACTCCGCATGAAGGGTTCAAAACCAGGTATTAACAGAAAGAGCTGGACGAGAGCGCAAACACGGATGTCATTTACGCTTTCCTCCTTCAATTTCCTCGCTTACCTATCATAGCCGTCAAGATACTTCAAGGATGGTATCATCTTGAATATTTCGGCTCTGTAACCTTCTATCGTCGTTACCTCACAGTTTAGCAAATCCAAACTTTTTAAATTTTGCAGTTTTGACTGTAAAAGAAACACAGTACGTGTAAGAGCTGACTGAAATAACTGGACTCCGAAAATACAAAACAAGCGCTTCGCAGACAAAATTTTTGCTTTAATAGTATTAACGCTTCCACACAAGTTAGCCCATATAAGCTTATAACAAACAACAAGTTGAAATTTGTACCTACCAATGGTTCTAGAGTTTCGAGATCTTTTATTCTGTTATTGCTAAGGCTCAAATTTGTTAATTTAGGTGATCCCTGAAGAGACTGTAGTCCCGACATGATCCTATTTTCGCCAAGTTCCAGCTGAAAACAAAGATATCGAAAGAACATAATCTAAGCGGCTACAAGCATACACGACCAGAGAAGCTGGGGTGCACCTCTATGCGAGTGTCGTGGAGCAGAAGTCATGAGGAAGGCTCAACAAAATCTTACTCACCCGCCTTAGATTTGGTAAATTGGGAAAACTTTTCAAATTTGTCAGCCCAACTTTGATCAGCGACAAGACCTCCAAGTTAAGAAATTCATCTGTTAGCCCAACGACCGTGGTAGAATAACAATTGTCCAAGATGAGCTCTCGAATCTGCAAAACAACAAAAGCACATGGAGAAGCGTCGACTTACAAATTTCGTCGATTTACTGCGCTTTCAACACGTAAATCGAAACAAAAGCTTCAATTCTGGTTAGATGGCATCTTTAGACCTCGAAAGGGACGGGGGGTTACCTCCTCTGGCTTTCGCTTGCCGCATTCTAAAGCGATCCGTTTCTCCATCCTTGTGTTGTTCGTTGTAGCTGGAGTCGCATTATCCATTGCACCTTTCTCCAGAATCGAGAGATTTGCTTTGCCTCGCGCCACGGCAGCATTGCCCCCAGAGGGGGTACAATACATTGACGCTGGAGGCCCCGGCAAAATCAACGAATATTCTGGTGCGACACACACGCGGTTGGGAGAAACAAAGGATTGATCAAGAGCAAAAAAACGATCATAAACACAAAAAAATCCAGAGGGGGTACAATACATTGACGCTGGAGGCCCCGGCAAAATCAACGAATATTCTGGTGCGACACACACGCGGTTGGGAGAAACAAAGGATTGATCAAGAGCAAAAAAACGATCATAAACACAAAAAAACGTCCAAATATGCATCAACAACATTGTAAAATAATTTTTTGGGAAGTTAGACTTATATAGCCTCGAATAAATACCTGCGGAAACGATATCTCGAAATACAGTACTCAGTTCAAAACAAGACATCAAAGACAACACAAAGAGAATCTACAAGTATTTACTGAACAACCGAATACAGGAAATAAACTTTAACGGCAACTTATGGCAAGATAAGAAAGTATATACGCTCAAAATGTATAAAAACATTGATGAAATTTACAAGAGAGCGCGCTACTGAACATCTGAATTACTGAAATAAAATTCTCCCTACTCACCACATACGTCATGCTTCCTCAAAGTCTGAATCACGTGACCAAAACAGCCATCTTGGTCGCCTGGAAAAGCAAAATTTTTGACAATTTTGCCTTCATATTACAAAAATAGTCGAGAATATCGTAAAATTCTGGTACAGGAATACAGAGAAATACACACCAGGGCTATGGCCTTTATATTTCCGTCTGCAAATCGACGAAAGGGTGTAGGTTGCACACTCGCCATTGTTTGCCCTCGGTACAAGCCTTCGCGACACGCAATTTGCGAATTTTTCCACCATCCTCGATAATTGCGGCAGAAACGCATTTCCAGCAGAAGGCTAAACATTCCTATACGAGAAAAATGATTGTATCCGGTTTTCTAAGGTGAAAACTACACTCTGGGCGTGTCTACAGAATTTTCCTTCAACAATGTTCGCTCTATTTCATAAAGCCCATCACAGCGCTTGCTGTTTTAGCGAACATTGCAGCAATACATAGAACCCCCTCCAACGATATCCCATAATTTCCCAGCGATTCTTGGCTTTGTCGCCGGTTGAAAGATTTTCTCAGGCTCGCAGAAGGGTGAAATTTCGATTAGTTTTAAACAGCCTATGAAATAAAACGGAGGCGCAATGTATCATCAAAACTGTTAAATTTACATGGGAATCTTTTGGAGGAATAATTGCGTTTACTATTCATTCAGTAAACAGCGATTCAACTTATAGCCTTTTGTAGCGTTTATCACATGTTTTTCGAAAAGAAATGCTCTTAAAGTCAGTGTTTGAAAACGAGGCTGAAAATTGGAATTTTGTAGCTTTGTTGTTGAAGTCGGTTTTAATCGGTGAAAGTGTCCTGAAGCCGAGTGAATCGCCTTATTTTTTGATATTATTCATTTTAGCTTTAAAAAATGAATAAATAAACAGAAAAAAAAGGAATAAAAATTGCCGAGGTTGTATACGTTTCCGGCTAGAAGGTCGCCTATACACTCTGATACACACTCTGGTGAAATGCTTCGTTCCCAATTCAGTATCGCGTACAGGAAAAAGCACAAAAATAGCTGGTTTCAAGTAATCCTTTGCCCAACAGCGGCGGGGCTAAAATACAGGTCACAATTCCACAGGTCAGAGTACAGGTCACTATGGTACAGATAAATGAACAGCATGAAAAGTGCCTCCTAACCCTAATATCTTGACAAAATGCGCCATTAGATCGAGGGGAATATGTGTGGTTTCGTAATTTATCGATGGAGCAGTGACCTGTACTCTTGACCCGTGGAATCATGTGACCTGTACGCCAACCAAACCTGGTACAGAGTGCGACAAGGATAATGAGATACGTTTGTTTGATTTAATTTTAGGAACAAAAAGGCTGATGAAATAGACCACACCCTTGGGTCCCCTCTCTCCGATAAAATTTAATTTAATTTATTTTTAGACCACAGATTTAATAGTGTACTAAATGGGGTTACATTAGGCTTATAGAGAAATCTCACTGATACGTTTTCCTCCAAAGGGGACCTCAAAGTGGGTCCCACCCTTATAATCGCAACCCCACTGTGTGCAACTGAACTAGTACCAAAGGACATAAGGACAACCACATGAGCCTATAACGTTTTTAACTAAACCGAAAAAAATACACTGTCGTTTGCGTTTTTCACGCAAGTACGAATTGAGGTCATTCGATTTTTTAAGTATCCGGCTTACTGTAGACGGGACCGCCACTTTACGTGCTCATACGGGTCACGCGAAGGTCTAGCTCTTTGCAAGGTAATCGTTATTGCCTTTATTTCGAATTCGAGTTGATTTAAAACAATACTTAAGGCATGGTGAAACAGTTTTATAAGTTGGCTCCCAATTAGTCCTCACTGTTAGCCGTAACTAGCGGGGAGGGGGGTGGGGGCAGCTGCCCCCCTGGAACTGTTGAGCCAGACAAATCAAGTCTGTTTATAGATTTGTTTTCTTTAGGCTCGATTTTTCGGAGACATATCTCATGACAAGTGCTAAAAATAGCGTTTCAGAGCCTCCAAATTGGATAATTTTCTGGGGGAGGATACCCCCAGACCCCCCTACAAGGCTCTTGCCTTCGGCACTGGCGTGCATCACGGTCTCTGGCTCGTGTTCGTACCATTTGTTTGTAATCTCTATATCATGATCTTTACTGGATGCTCCAATGGAGATACGCTGCAGCATTATTTCGCCAAGAGGCATGTTAGAAGTAGAAAACACGTCCTCAAGAAGAGTGACTTCGGGGAATGAGGGTGGATTTCCATTTTTTGCCGTAATTTTACGTGCGCAGGAAGTCTAAGGTGGCAGCAAGTTAACGTTTAATTTCAGAGCATCTCACCCAACTTTTATGTTTACGCCCGGCCCTTCTTTTGCCCCCACTTTATTACTGTAAACCCTCCACTCCCTCTTCCAACGTCCCCCAGCTAGCATGCATGGAAAACATGTCGTGCCGAGTCAATAAACACGGCGCGCGGGTGCGTACCCACGTAAATTTTAGGCCCGTAAATAACATGGAGGCAGTGTATGGAAGGTCGCGCCTAAACGTAAAAGTTGAACCTCGCTCAACTTTTACGTTTACGCGCGTAAAATTTACGTGCATAAGTACGTAAATTACTCGACAGTGGAAAACACCTCAACCGACTAGGGCAATAAAGCAGATTTATTACTGAGCAGCAAATTGACTACCGGAGGTCGCGTTCAGTTCTAGCCGCGCGCTTTCGCGTCCTCATTTGGGACTGCGTTGTCTTGGCTTAATCTGCCTAATTTTGATAGCTATCAAGCAAGGCCAAGACTGCGCAGTCTTTTATTTTTCTTTTGAGTCACAGTAGATCAAGAGCACGCGTGAGTTGCATAATTTTACTTTCTCGCTTGCCGCACGTGGCGCAGAGGAAAGAGGCAGGCGCGGTCTAAGCAATCCCCAGCTTTTTGTCAAGGACAAAAGGTGAGTAACAAAGAGAGGGGCAAGAGGACGATCGCTAGACTCGTCTCTCGTCCGAGAGCTCTCGCTTCCGAAATCGTCAGTTTCCTGGGAGGCTAAAGCCAAACAAATGGCGGCAACTGTCAAGTCACAAATCTCGTGTTCCGGGTGGTTTCAACAGAAAGTCATTTTATTAAACAATGATTTAGTCGATCTGCCACGTTTTAACTCGGATATGTACGATTCTATTCTATCTCACTCTACTTCTCGTGCGAACATTCTAATACACAAATGACCCTAAGATTATTTTGGGGCCAAACTCACTTTCAGTTTTCCGTCGTTTTCGAACGAATTGTAGTAAACATAGCCTGTTCTAGGTGTTCAGATTGTGGGGACGGCGCAGAGAGATGCGAGAGAAACAGACAGCAAGGGGAGGGGAGGGGTGAGGGCGAAGGAACTCCTCACCCCGTCTCCCACTCCTTACTTTTTTCCCGCTCTTTGACTTCGTGCCGCACTGCACTGTTTAACCGCCTGTAACAGGCTAAGTGAAATAACACGATCCGTTAAGCGGGGTAGCAGTGATAAGAGAGAAATAATATCAACACACACAAAATCCACAACAACAAATTGTTTCCCATTTTCGGTCATTTTGCTATGTTTTAATCTTTCTGCTGCAGAAAATTTACAATAAAAAGTCCGTCAGCCTAGATGAGTAGCGACTTCACTGGGGCCTTAAAAACCAGTACAACATTTATCACAACAGAAAAGTTATAAAAGTACAGGATTTACATACATATAGTAATCTAACTGAGTTACGGTCCACAAAAAGCACATGCTAACGTTAACAGAGAGGCTACCTATAGAGCTGACTTAATCATGAACGAATAAAAAATTTATTGCAATTGTTTGCCAGATATTCTGGGTCCATAACAATAATAATTTATCTATTATTTCCATTTCTACTACAGTTCAAGAGTGGTCAGCCACAAAGGGGAGGGGAAACGAAGGAGGTGAAAGGACATGAAATTTTCCCTGTCATACTGAAGGTAAAGAAATTAATGAAGCCATTTCATCCTCAGTGGCGGATCCAGAACTTCAGATAAGGGNATGAGGCAATAGCTCTTATGGTTACAAGGGAGCTACACAAAGCCAACACCAAACTATCCGTGAAGAAGTGGGTCCTTCCTGTTGCTGCTAGCTTGACTGTGGCCTCCCAGGCAAACGTTCTTAGGGCTTCGTCACGCGTTTGTTGGGGAGATTGCGCGAAGAGCCAAAAAGAATGTCTGCATGGGAGGCTAGTTAGAATACTTCCCCAAAGGAACAAGCTGACAGCATAGTCGTATAAATCCCATCGTGACAGCAGAAGGGTAATGACTCCATAACAGTTTATAGCAAAAGGGCTAAGCAGGATTCCGTGACTTAATCTAGCGCAGTAACTACATAAAAAATGAAATTTTTAATGTCTACTCCCACATGCCTCCCTTAACAACTCGTTATGTCTCTGTTACCTTTGATGTGATACCTGTACCCCCTGGCCAACTGAAATCCTGCACAAGTAGCTATGCGCCACATGAGAGGTCACAACAGAAAATCAATAGCAGAAGTTCCAACAAGCCCCACCATATAATTTCTCCTAACAAAATTACTTCTTAATCAAACTCATATGTTTAGAGAATACAAGAAATGATCACCAAAAAGATGCAATGCACCATCATAAATGTATGAACAGTGTGGAGAGAATGCCTGTTGACTTCCAGTGGTCCCTCCATACCCTACGTACTACCCGGCGAGTAAGAACTAGGTTCAATTACCAGCTGCTGTTTGGGAAATGAGCCCACGCCCCTCCCCTGAACAGTAGGCTAATTTAGTAACAGAGTGGGAACGTCAGCTGACGATGGCACACGCAAATCAGACAACTGGCTTGACCAATGGCAGAGCGGCAAGTAGGGTCCCGGAAGTCGGGTTTAGTCAAATGACATTCCCATTCTGTTGCCAAATCAGCCAATTCTCTTCTCGGGGAGGACCGAGAAAGCAGCGAAAGTCGAGCCTAAGTAAGAACCTACTTTTCTCAAATTGACCCACAGAGGGTCCCACATTAATAGTAATGAGCACAAATTTAGGCTATTTAGGTTGGTTCTTATTTTCTGACAAAAACATTAAATTGAAGTTAAGAGAACGTGGTGCTATTCAGGCTATTTCTTACGGAAAAAATATGCATACAAAGTAAGTATTTATGTTTAAATGACTATGATAAGAAAAATTGAAGCACTAGTCATGTAAATGTTGATGTCCTTTTTCAGCGAACACATTATTTTACACGGTTTCCCAAAATAGAAACCTGTTTCAATTTTCAGGCCAAAATTTAATGGGTTCTAGTGTAGAGTTGTCTAATTGGCCAATTTTAACCCAACAGTTTCTTACTTGCAGGGTAGTACTGTAGTGGAGAGAGTCAGTGAAATAAGCAAGTGTACAAAAAGTTACCACTCACAAAGAGAGGACATACAGCTATAGATGTCCCCTTCTCATGCTCAAAAATATGTGCTGTTCACTTCCCAGGGAAATTATGGGACTCTTCAAGGATTAACCTTTTAAGTGCCAATAGTGACCAAAAACAATTTTCTCCTAATAAAATCCATACATTGTCAAGAGACAAAGTTATGAGAATTAATAAAGTGATCACCAAAGGGAAAATGCCATGATCTTTTATCAAATTCTCTCAAGTAATTCTTAAGAAAATCTATGGAGATCAGTTTGGAGAATTTGTATGTGGATATTGGGGCTTAAAGGATTAAGAGTAAACACTAAAGCAACATATTCAAACATTTAAGGCTGGCAAAGGTATTGCAATGGAAGAGNAAGCAAGTGTACAAAAAGTTACCACTCACAAAGAGAGGACATACAGCTATAGATGTCCCCTTCTCATGCTCAAAAATATGTGCTGTTCACTTCCCAGCGAAATTATGGGACTCTTCAAGGATTAACCTTTTAAGTGCCAATAGTGACCAAAAACAATTTTCTCCTAATAATATCCATACATTGTCAAGAGACAAAGTTATGAGAATTAATAAAGTGATCACCAAAGGGAAAATGCCATGATCTTTTACCAAATTCTCTCAAGTAATTCTTAAGAAAATCTATGGAGATCAGTTTGGAGAATTTGTATGTGGATATTGGGGCTTAAAGGATTAAGAGTAAACACTAAAGCAACATATTCAAACATTTAAGGCTGGCAAAGGTATTGCAATGGAAGAGTCATACGGTTACAACTGAAAGGCCAGAATACAGAATTTTTAGGGGCAATGTCTTGGCAAAAGCATGACGAGTAGCGGTTTAAAGCAACACTTAGCCACTGCTTTACATTATCTTTGAAGTTGACAAAAAAGGTTCTTAGAATTTTTCAAGGTGTTTTGGATGACACTGCCCCTAAGGGTAAAAAAACTGCTTTTGATGCTTCCAAAAGTTGCCCTAGCAACTGGCAAAAAAGTTGACATTATTTTATGGGGGGGCACCAGCGATTAGCTGCTTTCTCAAGTTGTAAGAACAAAAGTTAAAGATGTGCATAGAAACACAATGTAAGTAATCTGTACTATCAGTATGACAGTGAAAGTGTTGGGACTTGGATACAAGAAATCCTAATCCCTATCCTAATTAATTAATATACGCTTTCTATAGATTATACATGATTTACAGTGAACACTACACATTTCAGCACATCTTGCTGAAAACAATGTGCCAGTGTATGCCGAAAACAAAAATGTAAAAATAACGATAATGCACTCAACACAACAAACAGTCCAGGCTGAAGCCAGCATACCCAGAACAGAAGAAATAACAAGAAACTACATGTCACTAGCTGCAGTAAAGATAAGTTATCAATATCATATACATTTTGTTTATGGCCAATTGAAGGCAGTCAAATAGCTGCTGTTACTGTTATCTCCGCAAGACAGCACTGTAAATAACATTTTACAAAGCATCTCTGCAAAAGGAATGAAAGATAAGCAAAAGAACACAAAACATTTTTTTTCCTAAAGCCAATTAATACAAAATTTTTGCAAGACTGGGTAAATGAGAATTTTGATCTCGCTTTCAGGAAATACATACTTTTTAGCTGAAAGTCGCAACAACAGGGGAGCGGGGAGCAAACTGCATAAACAAAACTAATATTTTTTTCCATTTATGACATATTCTAGCTATATCTAACACTTGGAAAATATTTCCAGTCACTTCATTTCATACTCTTAAAATACACGACATTCAACTGTGTTGAACCATACTGGAAAAAAATTCACAGTGCCGCACTTGTCTCATAACTTGAATACTAGATATATTCGCACACAGAAACTCTTGCTCTTGGGGAATTTTGTACACAAAAGCAAGTTACTAGAATCAATTGAAGACAAGCGATCTTAAATAAAGAAATCTCTTTCAACCACTTTTGTAATCTTCTACAGTTTCCATCCCCTAATTGAATCTCTTACAGCCTGCCTGCCATTGTTTCTTAATACAGATAATAACATCTCTGTCGGACCAACTCTATTCAAACTAGATTATACTCTTTTAAGTTTAACTGGAGTATTGTGTCCTTCACTGCCGCAAATACAAACCGGATATTTTCTGTATCTGTGGCACACGTGAAGTGAGAGTAGATTATCTTATCTGAGTCTGGATTCAGGTCAACAAACATTTTAAGGATGAACTCACGAGCTGCCTGGGCATCACACTGGGGCCCTGCGAAGAAATTTCATACAAATCACATTGATATTTGACATTACAAAATCTCTACAAAAACTGAACACCTTGGCACACCAATGCTTAATCCTTTAGGTCCCAAGAGTGACCAACATCAATTTTCTCCCAACAACATCAGCAGATCATCAAGGGTAAAGGTGAAGAGAATTTCTAAATTGATTTTCAGAGGGAGAATGCTTTGATCTTAAAACAAATTCTCTCAACTTGTTCTATGGGAAATGTATGGAGATCAGTCTCGAGAATTTGTATGTGGATCTTGGGGCTTAAAGGGTCAATACAGTCAAACCCTGTTAACATGGACACTGAAGGGGCCATAGAAAGTGTTCGTATCAAGAGCGTCATGTTATTGATGTCAAAAATGTCAAAAAACACTTTTTATTAGAACAACATACTAAAGAAATAAAAGAGGAAATCAGCATGGTCAAACTTAACATATCTAACTACCACAAAGTCATCATTCAGTTGACTAATTGCCCGGGAACACTAAAAAAGAACACTCACTTATTACTACTTAAGGAAAACCATTCTATGCATAATTAGTGCGTTGGCTGAAAACAGCCTGAAATTGGCATATAAAATCATTGTATCCAGTGCTCGAACTTAACGCTTGTCCACTCGTCCAAAACAAGTAAAGAATTCTGAAAATGAGTATTTTTCTTCCCCACTAGTCCTCTGGACAAGTAAAGTTATTACTATCTGAGAAATAAATGTAATTTTTTTTTGTATCATACCAAAACGTTTTAAAAACCTTGAAACAAATGAAAGTCTGGGTTCTACTTGAAACAAAATGCACTGCAGGATACAAGATGGCAGCTTTTCGTTTTGAAGGTCCATGTCTATTTTCCTTTGGTAAATTAAAACGTGAGCCAAATTAAGTCAAAAGGGAAACAAGTGCAAGGCTCACTGTAATCCTTCTTTGAAGGAAAGCAATCAACAGATGATAAAGAAATTAACGCAGCATCTGAAACGCCTGCTCCGACCAAAAAAAACACACAAGTTCCTGGAGGCATGGAAGGATAAATACAAACAGCTGAGGTTTGATGGAATGAAAACAAAATGTTCTGAGAGTTTTCTAGGGAATACAAAATTCTTGAATAGGAAAAACACAATACTCCCATCGACCCTGAGGATCGGAACGAATAATTTGCAAACAGCTTGAAAGCACATGAGAACTGAGAAGTCATACTGTAAGACACTTGCTTTGGTAGCTATGTACAGGGTTAAAAAAAAATACTACGGTTGTGTTTATTAAATTGCAGTTTCATTATTTTATTAATTTATTTGAAAATGATAACAGTGATCAGTAGTTTTGTCGTTGGACCAGTAAATTTTAATCCCACTGGTCCTGAGGAAGACCAGACCCAAAAGTTAATTTCGGGCACTGGTATCTGGTGTACTATAGCGCTGGGAACATCGACATGTCAACTGAAGATTTTTTGACCTTCAAGAAGGAAAAGTCCATTACAACAAAGTGTCCGCATTAGTGAGGTTAACTTTCTATGAGAATCTATCCATTGGGCAAATTAGATACAGGTGCCTGTTGTCTGCATTAACAGGCGACAGCATTAAGCGGGTTGAATTTAGAGAAAATGTTTCGGACTTTTCCCAAGGACAAAGAGAACTGTCTGTAATAACAAGGTGTCCATATTAAGCGGGTGTCTGCAAAGTGATGTTCCACTTTATCTAGAGCACATTCCCCTTAAAGGAGCTGTGTCACAAAATTATCAAAAAACTAACAGTAGGAACTGCCACCAAATTCAGTGAAACGTAGTAATAACCACTCAAAATAATTATTAACTGGCATAAAGAACAAAGCATGTACAAAAGAAGGCAGAGATGGATAAACTTGACAAACATTAAAACAGATTGCAATTGTGGGTTGGCCTAACAGTTAAGTTTTATTTCGACTTTCTCGCCTTTTCCACCGTCAAGAGTAATGATTTTGTTAGCTTTTGTTTCCTTTTTTTTTCTTTCTTCTTCGTTAACAACTTTTTTCAATTAAAGCAAATTGTTGTGTTTTTGAAGTGTTCCGTGTGTATATTTATTTCATGGTGTGATTGCGTTCGAGTTTTATTATTGAATTCCAGTTCAGTCGTCTAGAGTACTGCATGCAGTTGACAGTTTGAACATAACACATGAATTATGGTCAAAAAGAGAAAAACAGTTCTGCCATAACGTGGACATTTCGAGACAACATTTCTTTGTTTGCCAATTGAAAATCGTGTTTTACTTTTTGCATGAATTAAAAAAAGGAGTTGTGACGTTAGTGGACGGCATTAACAGCAGGTCGATTCAGATGTTATTGAGGGAGTAAAGACAACTCGAAGTAATCATCTGTAACCCAGGCTAAGGACACACTTCAATAGGAAATACCGCTGGATCATCTGACTAATTCTGACTCCATCGTAAATGGAGCACAGTACAGTGTAGATCACTAATCCATTAATCTGGATTTGGATTCTTTGGATTTCAAATCCAACAAATCCTTTTTGAAAAGGACTCACCAGATCAAAAACCTGGATTTGGATTTGCAAAAGGGAACACAAAATCCATTTTAAGATCCAGGTCCAACTGGATTCATCGTAAGGAACACACCTTTCATATAATGCTTGGGGGGGCATATTTGTTGGACAAGAAGCAGTGATTTTGTCATTTACAGGTTATTTCTTCTCTAGTGGCAGATGAACAAGACAGCCATGACACAGCCCCATTAAATAAGACTGTTATCTTGCACCAGCCAAAATGAGCACCTACTATGCTCAATTTGACTGGTAAACCAAAACATAGCTTCTGAAGATATTCCCTGGAAAACACAATCTTATTACTAATAAACCTAGGGTTGTTTTACCTGTTATGATCTGATGTCTGTTTTAATAATTGATACCTTTACCCAAATATTTTGGAATTTCATTCTACATATAAACCATCATTTTATAGTAGTAACCCTCTTGCCAGCAGCTATCCCCCAAAAAAAGTGCCTTGAACAACAGCAGCTTGGATACAACAATGTTTTTAACTGAATCTTGCATGTACTGCAAACCTCGTGCAATAATTATTAAAAATACATCATTACAAAGACAATCTTACAACAAACAAAGGAACCAAAACAGTGATATTTATATTACTGAATATATTCTCCAAAACTATCATAATGCACAACTTTAAATTTGTCTTTAAGGCATCGCTGTAGTATTCAAGAGCATATTTTGTTGTTTATGGTTAACAGCCGTCTTCAAATGTCTTCTACAGCTATAGGAGTTATCAATCGTACTTTTGGGAAGATATTTTCTTTCATCTCTCCCAATTCATGACAAAATTTACTTTTGAACATTGCCTTTCCCTCTGGTTGTTGTTCACAGATGCAAAAAAAACCGCTTTCTTTATCTTTCAGATCGTTGAACTCGAAACAGGCCACAATTTTGTTTCCAAAGCATCTGCTTTCACTTGAATGAATTAGTTTTCCCATGGATGGAAAGTAGGGCCCAGTAATTCCCTGACAAAGATAGTTGCTTCGTTTCACTAGAAAACCAGCACATAATGTTACAGACACTTTTTGTTTTCACTACACAACCTGGCGTGATGGTGAAGGGGTTCAAATAACACCCTGCTAAGAAGCTACTGCTCAAAGATAAATAGAACTCACCATCAAACTCTGGGAAATATTCCACCAAATGTGAAAACATAATTTTCTCCTCCAACAAATCCTTTTTGTTTAAAAATAATATGATGGAAGAGTTCTGAAACCAGGGATACGTGATAATAGTACGAAATAATGCCTTGCTTTCCTCCATTCGATTCTGAAAAGACAACAAGAGTACAGCGAGTGATTAGTGTCTAACAACATACGAGCGAAATACAGTAAAACCTCCTGGCAAGTGACCACTCCAAATGCAAAGATTTTGTGGTCACTTACAAGAATCAAACCACCTCAGGCAAGTTATGGCATGGGTTGAAATGCTAAAAAGGCCTCCCGTAAAGAATGCAAAGATCCTTTTTAATGACGTAGAAGGATCCAAGAAAAGGGTTCCACAAGGATATGATAAGACATCTCCTTAAACCATGACGTCACAAAACCTGTTTTCTCAAACGGGGCAAGGTTGTTAAAATTCAGCCTAAAAATACTTGTCATCAAATTGTCAGCTAAACTGTCTGGATTGTCAATTAGCCTTGCACGGTGGATTAAAGCATTTTTACTAAGAGTTATAAAAGTCTTTTATAAGTCACGTGACCTGTTTTTCTTTATTTCATAATCCTTGCAGCACTTAGGCATGCATGCAGGGCCATTTCATAATATCCAGGCCACGGGAAAAACACTGTTGCCTAACAATATTTGCTGCTCTTTCATTTCCTTTCCCCCGTTTTAATTTGAAAAATTTGAACATTAACAATCATTTGCAGGTCACATGACTAATATTTCAACAATGAATAGGTCACATATTGTTAAGGCCACCAAGCTAAAACTGTTTGCCAAGTTTCGTGAGGACTGATCAAAACAATCCGTTCAATTGCCACTTGGCCAAATTATGCAAATTATGAGGTGACCCATGCCTTAACATGTATAAGACGTGGTGTCTTTTTTCATGAAGAGGTCCTGACTTATCTCCTTTTTGGAGGAGAATTTACTGCATGTAATTTCTAAGTTATCTGTAATTCTAGGTTGTCTCTAAATGTTTTTTTTTATATTCCGCATACCCAGAGGTGGTCATTTACAATAGGTTTCAGCTATGGCACTATGACTGGTGTTTTGTTAGCCTGCGTGGCAGGCATTCAGAAGGGAAGGGGGAGAAAATATGGGCACAAGATCGCACGAGAGGGAGAAAGAAGGAGTGGAACACCTGCAAAGACACCAATTTTCACCATCCCGCTGACTAATTATGTATGCAAAATACAACACAACTGTGTGCAAGTCTAGCTGTCAAATAAATCTGGGAGCAATGCATGTTCCCTAATCGTATTTCTCGCACAATTTTTCTTTTGTTTTCTTAAAACAAGAACTCAAAGAAAAGAAGAAGGTCCAACCGCGGTTGTCCAATGAAGGAATAAAAAAGGCAATAACACGTGCTTAGTTTGTGAAACTAGTTTAAATTTCAGCAATAGAAAATGCAGAAATGATTTTTTCAAGCTGTTGCTGAAGGAATTGGGCTGGAAAACTAGGCTTTTTACAGCTTATATGCAATGTTTGTCCGACAAAAATTAAAACACTTTGTTAACTCTTTGAATTCCTATTGGAACACCTTGGACCCAGAGGAGCATACAAAAGAACGCTGCAAGTGTCGAAGAGCAGAACTTCCAGGATCTGAGAAAGAGCTGGAATAAAAGGAAGTTCCCACAGGTTTTATTACCAGCAAGAATAAGTCCTAAAACTGAAAATCACTGAGGATTAGATCGCTTCGTTGTCAACAATCTGGTGGTTGTTAATGCTGGTCAAACAGCAGATAACTAGTACACAGGCAGCATGATTTCCTGTTCTTTTAGCCGTTAAAACAACAAGTGGGTAAAACTCATCTGCCAACTGGTCTTTTGTTTCATACAGTTGTTTAACTGCTTCCTTCTACTCTCCTTTCAAGCTGAACTTAATGTCCTCAGTACCTCCAGTTTCTATTTCTCACAACAAATTGCCGTAAGACAAACTTGAAATCTCTTCCCACTTCACTCACCATATCTAATGAGTACTGAATGACGTTGATTTCAGCCAATCATATTAAGGTACTAAGGCTGTGATTGACATGTTTAGAACTCTGACCAATCATGATTTTTTCAAGTCTCTGGTAGACGTGAAAAATGAAGAAGACAGGTGTTCCCTACCCTCCCCCTTACGCACCTTTCACACTTCTCACACAACTGGAATCCACTCCCCCTTTCCTTTTAAACACCCACCATGTAGACTAGTGATTAAAAAGGGCTGGTTGCTAATGAGGGGTGGTTGGACTGAATGGAAATTAGAGTAATTGGCATGCAAAAACAGGGCTCGAAATTGCGACTGATACGGTCACCAATGTGACTACCATTTGCTCCTTGGTGAATAAAAATTCTGGTTTAGTCACCACTTTGGCGACCAGATGTCTCTATGATTTAGCTTTAAAGTAAAAACTAACTTTTCACCTTATCTTGCTTTGCTTTCGTGAAAAAAATGTGCCACATTGCATAAACAAAGCCAGTTTACCTCCAAATTTATACTGACTTCTGTCCGTGATATTCTCAAACAATCAAATCTGATGGATCGTGCCACACTATGAGCTGCGTCATTTACATTGTACAAACTGGCGACTAAAAAATTTGCATCTGGCCACTATTTCTCCAGTTGGAATTTTTTTAATTTCAAGCCCTGAAAAAACCTACTCCCTTTAACTCTTTAACTAGAAATGGAAGGGGCGTGCAGAAAAATAGCCAGCATGCAGTTGCACAAGTCCTAGTCCTGCACACTGTGTCCTAATTTGTCTGTTTGTCTGAATATTCCAGCCACAAATACTTTACACTGGTGACCATTTAATAGCAATCTAGGTCACCAAAAGCCGACTTTGAAAAACGTACTGGCATTTTTCTCAGACTCAATTTTCACACTATCAGCTTGTTAATAAAAGCTCAATCTGACAATGCCAAAAATACTACCGTAAAGGCAGACTATCAATGCCGTAAAATTGATAACCCTACACTGTTCTATTTATTCTTGTTTGCAGGAGTAGCACATTTCTTCATTCATTTTATAATTTAGCTGTATCAGCAAAACATTAAACAAAGCACAGGCGTATCCTTTACACCCTCAACCTTTTAGGACAGTTGTTGATATAACCCTAGTGAAGACAGTCACGTGCATAGCACCATAAAAAGGCAAAGTAAATGCTTACCTCATTGGCAGATTCAACGAGAACCTGGTCATATTCACTGAGCGCAACAAGGAACATAATCGATGTCACATTTTCGAAGCAGTGAATCCATTTTCTCCTTTCTGATCTTTGCCCTCCTACATCAACCATTCTGCAAAGCATTTAACATAGTTATATACTTGCAAATTTCATTTTCAATTCCTTTCAGCTGAATGTGATTCTAAGAGTAAAGATTGGGGGAGAAGGAGAGCTCAAATTTCCAAAATACATGTGGAGATCACTTTTAAGGAAAGGAACTTTATTAATATTAAAACAGGTCAAAAGATTACAAAAGAGATCCAAGCTATTACTTCAGTCTTTCATCACAAGATAAAAAGAACTTTAAAATGTCAAGGGTTACTTGGGAAATGATGAGGTAGTTTGTAACATGTTAACATATTCATCCATGGACCAGTGGGTTAAAGATGGGAAAATATACAAGGATAACTGATCAGTTCAAAATATTCATGGCAAACAAACTTTGCCATTCAACATTTATGCAGATTCATAGCCATGAGATGCATAGAAAAGCAAGCAAACTACATTGACATCCTGTGTGGGAGAAATTTCCTGCTCATTTAAGACAAATTTGAAGGGCAAAATAGAGCCCTCATAACAACAGAAATGCAATAAATTTAATTCCATATGACCCTTTATCAGCTCCAACAAGAATCTAAAAGATTGCTGTTGCCGTTGCTTAGAGATCAAATAACAGTATAAATGGTGGAAAAGAAAATAAACCTTACCTAAAAATTATCGTTTCGAGATCGAACGGATACTCGATGATCCCCGAGGTAGGGGCTCTTGCTCGAAGAACATCCTGTTCTGTAGGGAGATAGTCGGGCTTGGCTATTCGATCTAAATCCGTGAGGTAGCTAAAAGATCGAGAAAGGCAAGCTCTGTAAGAATATACAAGTTAAGCTACGATAATGTAAAAGAACAGAAGTTGACTCCAATAAGCGCGAGAGAAAATTCTCAACTGTTGATAGTTCGCAAAAATGATTCGCGACCTAAACTTTTATCATCTCCAAGGCATAAATAATCGAAGCTGAACTTCTTCCTTGGGTGGTTTAGAGATGGGGTTAGAAGAGGCCAACTGAAACAAATTGCATTTTCAAAAGCTGCTGCTCATTATCCGAACAAAATTTCAAGCAAAAATTGACAAGCCATCTTGCCGCGCGAGGGTATCATAGCTCGCGAACAAAATATTACTAATTCTAAAATGACTGGTGATACATGTTTTAAATCAAGGCTGAAGGAAGATAAAAAGAAATAAATTTGACTACTAGCAATAACTTTCAGAAACAAAGGCATTCAATGAGGATATTCCAGATGGGATGAGAGAAAAACGAATGTGGCGTGAATATTTGGTAACTAACTCCCCAAGTTGTGAGCACAAATACAGAAGGCTATTTTCGAGAGACGGATGTTCCAGCAAATCCGTCAGTTGAAACAAAATATTTCAATAAGAAAAACGTATGGGAAAGGAAACGAACATTATGATAATCTTACTATTTAGCAGAATCGCTGAGTTGGTACTCTCTTCTTCTGTCGTAACATTCTTGCATGCCTTGGTCACACCAAAGTGATTTAGTAGCTTCGTAATATGAATTTTCGAAGGTCGTTACATTTTTAGGATCTATTTCTCTAATGTACTTGGCGTTCTCCTAAAAAAAAAATGGAAAATAAACGTCAAATTTTAAGGAACATCAATACAAAATTCGCACACAAAAAAAATGAAATTGAACTAAGCCTTAGAGCCTTCAAGAGCGGGCAAATTTTCAACCAATTGAGGAATAAAATAACGTAAGTTAAAAACAAGGTCATAAAGTATTCGAGAAGTCTATTCAGACCTTATTACTTGGATCCTTGTAAGGGATATTCAAAGATTCCATTGCTGTCGTAAGGGAGTGCATCGCTGTTATTATGTTCTGGTAAACCAAGGGGATGTAGCTTCGCTTGTCTTCTTCATTGTAGCCTTGGCCGTGTATAATTCTCATCTGTTTTATAAACGTACTTTTGCCTGATTCTCCAGTTCCTGTAAAAAGAGTACATCCCACATTAATTATAGAATCTCGCTTGGAAACATCCCGCACTTGCTAACGAAATGTGTACAGAAACAACATTCGCTCCAAGGTTCGACATTTCCATGCTGAGCGTACAACTTGAATTTTGCTGGTCCACAATAAGGCCCTTTTAACTTATTTATTCAATATGCAGGTTACAAGAAAGTCTTAATTTATTTAGGGGCAGTGAGGATTAAATTTGGGTATTTATACCAAACATGATAGAGCGCTAACAACATGGAGTCGAGAAGGTCTGGAACAATCGAACCTTGCCAGAGCGGTCAAACACACATTCACCGATCTCGCAAAGTCAGAAAACCGAGCGTTCCTCGCTTGATTTAAACAAATCTACATCTACATGAGTGTATAAAGCATATATATGTATATATATTTCTATATAAATGTATATGTTTTATATTTATGTTTTTATCTGTGTTTTGTCGAGCGAGCATCTCCATGCGACCAGTTTCGAGCAACAGCTAGCGCGGTTCTTCCTTTACATTCGATCAAATATGAATGCGTTCGAATACAACATAAGCCATGCTCACCGAGTAAAAGCAATTTCAGTTCTCTCCTTTGATTTTTCTTGTCCTGTCTGAGCTGTTTTTCGATCTCTGCGTTGATTCGTCTGATCTCCCTCTGTTCTTCGCTCAAGCAGCACGTCATCTTGAAAGAACAAATTGCCCCCGATCGCCACAACCAAAACCAGCGATGGCGTCAAAAGCAACGACAGTTGTCCTTTTCGCTCCTCGAGCCCCCAATGGAGCTACGAGTTCACTGTTACCACCGAATTTATTCTTCCAAAGTGATGATCCAGCTCACTTGTTGTAGGGCGTAGGCGAGCTTCGATAGCTTTTTCCCAGAAATCATTGAAAAGCCTCCACAAGCCCACAAGAGCAGCCCACCCATATAAGGCTATGACCTCCATATTTGGATGCAAATTGTCCTCGCCCCAGACAAGAAATGCTGTTTTTTCCGCCCCCTAGGAACGCCTGGCGATATTTGAAGCTGTTTTCTTCCGCCATTTTGTGTTGGAAAGGAGAGTTAAAATTTCGTAGCGTTGGCGCAGCGGAATTGACTATAAAGGGACGAAATGATGAAGGATTTATTCTTTGAAATCCTTTCTTTGTCTAAAATGACAGAAAGAATCCACAGTCAGGGAGAAATGATCTAATAAAGGGTGATGTATAAACAACCACTTGACAACTTATATACAGACATATTTATCCTTTAAGAAAAATAATATTCATGTGCATCGCTTTTATATCATCGTTGATAATTTAAAATGTTAAATGATATCTTTTCATTAAATTCAATTTCAACTGATTTGCATTTTGATTATTATTCCTTAGATTCAAGTTATTAGCTTGTAGAAAATGCTGTCTTAATGTCTGGCAGCTGGTTAAGGTCTTCAAATCACTAAAGCCATCAGGAATTGAGACTGCAGTAGGCATGTTTTAAATCCTGTGTGTCAGAATTATATAGAGAGCAACCCATAGCTACAGTCAGTGTGCCACTTGCAATTGATTTGCTCTATACTCCCATCCCCCAAAATTGTTTTTATCATATGATTTGAAGGTAATACAAACATCCATATTCTTGACCCACACACTAGTCCCTTACCTGATCCACTATTAAATAAATCTACCTGTTGTAGCAAGTTGAAACTAAGATGACCAAGCCTTGAAAATAGCCCATATAAGACTGCCAGGCAGTTAGACACTTTATGTGTGAAAGGAATATACTATGTTTAGGGTCCATTTTGTGTTTACTTCACAGTGAATAAACACACACCAGGACAAGGCAAAGAGGTATATTTCTGATGAAGGTCTGGTTTGAAAACCCATTCAAACTGCATTTCGTGAATTGAGTATCTCTAGCAGCTGAATGTGTTTCCTACTACAAATGTGCATACACACAAGTGAATTGTTATTATACTGAAGTTACATAAATTTAGCAACCTGCAGTTTTCATTACAAGCAGCAAGATCTCCATAAAATTAATGTTTGTTGACAGTTACAAGACCGCTTGAGTAGAGTCCATGTGGGTCATGTAAATGCAAATCAGAGATATTTAGCACAAGTTTAGTGAAAAAGTCTTGATAATACTTTCGATAATCATCATCATTATCTTTCCCAACATAATCCACAGTGCTAATACCACCAAGGTGTGTTTCAGTTGGTTCCTGCAAGAACTTAAGAATGCAGAAATGTAAGCCAATGTCACTACTAGCGTCCTACAGTAGATGACAACCATGTGCTATACTCACCTATCTACCTCCAAATTTCTATCCTGGCCTGGAACCTGGGCTGCATTGTATCTAGTGCCAACAAAACACTAGTCAGAATAATTTGAGTTAACACTCCTTGCAGTTCTTTTCACTCACATGCCACAATAAAATAAGAATTATAAAAGAATGATAATAAAGAGCTCACAAAGATCATAACTTATCATGCTAAAATGAAATTTAAAAAGACTACCACTTGGATCTCTGAGAATAAACAATGTATTAAACCAGCACAAGCCAGTGAAAACTACAGAGCTGCTAACAAAATTTCACCCAGTAATTGCAACAGAATTTGCACATAGGAAATTATATTGCTTTGGGGGCGGGGGGGAGCAGTCTGGGGTTCAATTCTCAGGACCAGACCAATACTATTACTTAGTGTCTTAAAATAACTGAGAAATGAAAGTATTTTCTTTGCCCATCCTGTCGGCATTTTATTTAAAAAGTGAAATGAAAATAGAGCCTGATCTCAGGTTAAGAAAATAGTGAACTTTTTGCATGGTCTAGGATCATTGGCCACCCAAGATGGTGGTCCCGGTCTCGTCTCTGGAAAGAGACGTAAAACAGCCATCTTTCCTGGCTCCTCATTGCTAGGGATGTTTCGCTTAGAGAGACATCTATACTTCAGCAATGTGAATTCCATACTGATCACATAAAATCTGTTTGGAATCTGGTCTGAGGAGCTCTGATTGGTCAACATAGTAATTGTTTTAGCTGTTGTGTACGAACAACAGGCAACAGGCAATGGCCATTAAGGTCAAAGGTCTACTTCAAAACAGTTCTACTTGTGGAATATATTCTTTTCTAGAAGAAGGACAAAACTTAACCATAATCGATCAAGAGAAACATAAAGTCAAACAAGTTTTCATTTGGAACCCCATGACTATGGGATTAATTATGTCAACATTGATTTTGATCATCATTATGGAATTTCTGTCAGTGAGGCATGGTCATCCCGCCTAGCAAAACATCCCTCACGACAAAGAGCAAGGAGAGATGGTTGTTTTCACAGGCTAGTAAAAATAGTGTCCTCAATAAGTACTTTCCTGCTAAATACAGTCGAACCTCCCATAAGCAACCAACCAAAATGCAAAGACTGAGTGGCCGCATACCGGAGGTGGTCATTTTACAAGAATTGAACTGCAGGGGGTCTCTTCCAAGAAGAGGTCCAGGCACATTTACTTTATGGAAGATAATTTATTGCATGCAATGTCTAAGTTAGGATATTTGCAGTTCCATGTTGTCACTAAAGTTCTTTGTATATTTAGCGTCTAAGTAACATACTGCACACAGTGAAAATAGAGATCAGAGAATGCTTCAAGTGGTCACTTACAAGAGGTGAAAAACAATTGAAAATTATTAACTGTCAGGCCCAAAAAGTGGTTGCGGTTGCTTACAGTAGGTGGTCGTTTACTTGAGGTTCCAACTGTAAGGCTTTGGCTGGGAAAATTTTGGTGATTTGGATTCGTGGTCACTTACGAGAGGTTGTCGCACCTGGAGGTTTGACTGTACATTGATATACAAAAAAGTGGAATTTTTAGCCAATTAGGAACCTTTTCATGTTGTAAAACACGGATAGTTTACCCTCTAGTTTTAAAACTACATTTGCATGCAATAATTTTAAATAATCTCTAGTGGTGGCAAAAAAATTTCCATGTGTGATTGGTTTTTTGGTTTGCAAAACAGAGGCAGTACCTTCATCTATCAGTTATTTTAAAACCCCACGTGAGTAAAGGTCCCTGGTATTGAACTCAAGTCCTCTCGCTCTGCTGCCAAGTGTTCTATCGACCGAGCTGGTCCTGCCAAACTGAGCTGAACTTGTGTCATTTAATTACCCATACGGAAATGAATAAATATTGTGTTTGTATTTTAGAGCTTTGCATTTTCTGTAGAATTTTTGGGTCTTATAACTTATCTCTGTGTTATCTCTGTCTAATTTATCTCTATCTCTGTAGATAAAAGACAATTTTAAAATCCTTTAGTGAAAATGAAAAATAAAAGTATTTTTTTTGCATTATTTTTCCCTTTAAATTGTAAACATCCAACAGTCTATTTGATAATTGGGACAAGGAAGCCGACCTTATACGTAGTTCATCCTCAGCTGCCCCAGCAATTAAGAGATTAAGCAAAGGCGTTTTTGAGTCATGCACATCAACTTGAAGCGAGGCTTTTACCCTTTTAAATTTTGACGATTTCCAAATTCGTCATTCATACTGTCTTTGTCCCCTTATGGAGACTACTTGCCCAAAAATGTTGGCGAAACCACTGCCGAATATTCCAAAAAGTCCACTTCCGGTTGATGTACGTCTCTCAAAAACTTCAGTTTGCTTTTTAAACTCCCTATTATTTCCAGCGTCTTTCCTCTTTCCTTTAGTTTGTAATCACCTTACCCCCAACCCTCCCCTTTTTTTTCCCCCTCCGTCGTATATCACCATGATCATCACTAACTTAATGGATAACTGGTGGGGTTTTTATTTATTTATTTATTTTTATTATTTAAATTTTTTTTCTGGGAAGGAAGTTTTTATTTATTTTGGGTTGAATGGTATTCAAAAAAATTTGATCTCGTAAATTTTTATTTGAAACTCGAGGATCTCGTCTTCTTGACAGATCTCCACTTCAGTGATTTTCGTGGTTGATTTTCCCATTGATAGGGTCAAAACGTGGTCAAGACAATAGTACACTTCAGATCGATGATTGTGGCTTGCGAGAAGAACTAAATACAGCGCTATAAAAATGTCATATTGCTGAAAGAACTAGTCTGGCGACCACCTGAGTGGCCACGTGAGTTGTCGCCCGGAGGGAAATCTTGCCTATTCTATTTAGTATATTCAGTACATTCAACTGTGGAAGTCAATTGTAAACAAGTACATGGTTGCGGAAAATGGGGCGAAAAGCGAAGGCTTATTTTAAAAAGAGAAATCAACGGCAAGAGCAAGCTCCTGAAACGGTGATAAGAAAACATTGAAAGATCCACCTGAAGAATTAAAATGATGTCTTGACCTATGGAATACTGAACAAAGACTGGGGCATCTTAAATCCGCAAAATAGGCAGGTGTTCTGGAAATCCCTCAGGAATGATACCTGATTTCTTGTCTCCAGATGTGTACCGCAGTTTCTGACTTGTGCAGATGCTCAGCTCTGTCATCCTTGGCGAGGTATGAGAGACCTTTAGATTCGAGGACGATCGAGATTTGATTTAGTTTTGGCCGCGAAGACATCAGTCTAGTCCGGAAAGTCACATTGTACTTTTTTTCACCAGAAAATTTAGCACGGTTATTTTTATTGGAGGTTAAGCGCTCACCTGATCGCAAAATGATAAAACTTCCAAAATGAGATAGCTTGTTTCTGGCATAACTTCAAAATGCTACTAATGGCC